AATAATCCATGTGGTAATTACAATAATAAAGCATATTAAAGCATGCGCTGCACTTGATATAAATATAGGTAATTTAAGGGGATACTTTAAATGTTTATACCTGAGAAATCATTACTAGTCTATAGAATCTAACCCTGGATTTGGTTCTTTAGAATTAAAACTTTGATACTGTATAATAAAGTAATGAATTTCCAACTACTCCTGTGTATTTCGTAACACTTTGAATCGCTAGCAAAATTAGTCACATCAAATCTTTCATATTAATCTAAATGCTAAATTGATATTTAATTTCCTAATAATCCTAATCCCTAGTGTCATCGAATTTCACTGAAATGAGGGAAACTTACTTCAGTTGACTTAGATAAAGACACCCGAATACCCAGTTTACTTAGATATCCGACAATACTAAGACCATATCAGTTAAACACCAACACTAACAATTGCAATAATAGTGATTTGTAAATAAACTATTCCATGGTTCATTGATATTAATTCTGTTGCAATCATCATTATAACTGTCTTAACCTCGGAATTTAATTAATACATTTAATTGAAGGTCAAAATCTAGTAAATATTATTTAAATAATTGCCTTTATTATTTTCATTAAAGCGCTATAAAATAAGTTGATGAGGGAGTCTAATAAAAATATATTTTACTTACTATTCTATGATCCTATATTATGTATTGTATCATAAGGATTTTCAGAGAGACGCAGTTTAAGTGAATACATAAAACTATTACATCTTCCCTAATATCACATAAAGTGTAACACTTTAAGTAATTAAATTTTGATAGAAACGATCATCGAATACTGACTAAATCACTTTAGCCACATTTCCTATGCACCATCAAGTCACTTTTGACTTATACTTTTAAACGAAGACAATGCAAAATAGACAGGCGTAAAAAAGATTGACTATAAATAGAGCAAAGCTTATGTAACCAATTACACAAATGAAAAATGCGTTAACAATAGATCCATATATATAAGCATAACAACGGTGAAAAGAAAACAATGAGCGGAAACATTAATGGAACCTTCGTTTTATGAAGTGGCAAATTTCATTTGCAAAAATTTCGAAATTGTTGTTTCAGCAAAGATAAATGAAGATGTTTTTGCATGATTAAAAGATAAATATAATGAAAGTAAAGGCCACGACAGTATCCTAAAAAATAATTAAAGATCAGATCAGAATTGCAAACTAATTTAGGAAGTTATTGTTTCTATAAAAGATGTGTTCTTTACAGTGTGCATGTGCAAAAACAGTGCAAAACGTTATTAATAAACTCTATCGAAAGAAAAGATATATATTGTGATCAAATTTGCAATAAATTTCGGTCAGAAAAAAATATCTTTTGACTTAATATTTTCTTTAAAAAACCATATCTGGCTCGTTTTTATATCAATTATTTTCTTCTAACAAAACACTGTGTCACTATCATGATAAATAAATGTGAAAGTATTTTTTACTTCATCGGCAAAAACGAGTGTAAAAATTTATAAAAAAAGAAAAAATTATGTCAAGCAGGTGTAGGAAAAAAATTTAAACAGGGCATCATTTGCCCAGTTTAAAAATAAAATGAATTTGTTTTTCTTTTGCTATTATTTGATTTCGGAATAGTCTCACTTCTTACGTTGTTCAAATCTGTTTTTTTTTTGCTTTAGGGATTCTAAAACCGAGGATGGTCTAGCGTTCTTCTATTTGGCAGCTTTATAAAAAGGGATTTTTTCCATGGTTCATAAACCTTCTTTCCTTTCTACTGAAGATTTTCGTATTTGTCTTATACTGTATCCTGACAACATCAGCACACTTGCCATAAGAAGATGTAATCTAAAAATCTGAGGTAAAAGTTGTTTAGAGTTCCAGGTTGCGTGCCAACAAATTTTCGTATAAATTGAAACAAAACACTTTTAATTAAATAAGCATACGCTGATAAAGTAATCGTCATTTAAAAGGATTAAAGAGTGAAAAGGGAAAGATTTATGATAAAATAGTTTAGTTGAATTTAACTATTCATTTACTTAAGTATTTTGGATACCTAAATTACCCACCTTTCGTTTTATTACAAGCATTGCCGTTCTATTATTCAAGCAAGCAGGTCACCAAATGCACATTCACTATACCGGTAACTTACATACTTAGTCATAATAGCTTCTGAATTGCATGTTGACTAAATTAGAAACAACAAATCGTAATTTGCCGGACCAGAACGCTTTCTGACATTGATGGAAGACGAGGATAAAGACCGCATTTCTTGGAAATACATTTTTTACCAGTCTTCACGCCATGCAACTCTCGTTGAGTCATTGGTAGCTGAGAGGTCAACCGGTGTGAAATGTCACGTTGTAAAGGAGAATAACAGAAACACGGTCTATTCAATTCTAGGACTTAATAAAATGTATTAAATCTAGTTCTATGTGTGATTTATAAGCTTGAACTTTTTGGGTGGATCCTTCCCCTGAAGCCACTGGGACTGACTTGAACTGCAAATAATTTGAAACGTATTGTCACAACCTTATAAATAGTCATATTAATTCTCAAACTGAGAATTTTTTAGATGGAGACTAAACCACATCAGCTATTTATTGTTGTACTTACATTAAATACATTTCGTTTTTATTCCACATAGAAAATAGGTCGACTTCTGAACAGAACATGAGAGAACCCATATCAAACCTCAACTGTGTCCTAAAATTACTTTTACGATTATTTGTTAATTTATGAGGCGCTGTCAACTGATCCTATTCAGGATAGAAAAATTATCAAAACCTTAAATGACAAAGAAGGAATAAAAGTGCTTCTGAAAAAGTAAATAAATCAAATAGAGGATAGATTCAAGAAGAGGATAGTTGAGTAGAAATGTCTATGGCAATGCCGCAATATTATCATGTTTAACAAGAGTTTATTGTACTGTACAACAATGCAATAATATCATTAATATAATTAGTATATCCCTACAAACATATACGAGAGTAAAATTGAAGATTTTTATTTATTATTATAATTTTATATTTATATTAAAATAAGACAAAGCTCCTTTTAAAGCATTAATCACAAGCTAAACCACATAAAGGTTAAGTACTAAGTAGTTCGGGCACACTGTTTTGAAATAAGTGGTGTACATAATTGACGGCTGAAATTTAGCAATAAAATGATGTAAAAACTAGAAGTATATTTCGTAAAATGGGACCCGATAATGCATCAATAAAATTAGCTGAGAAAGCTTTTATGTTTAAGTGCTTAATGTGAGTGCTTAATACGGTTCGTCTAAATACAGAAATAAATAAATAAAAATGTCTTCTTTTCTCTGTATTTTCAGAATTCAAATATTCCAGCTACGAAATAAGTATTGAGAATGGAAAGCAGACAAGTCAAATCGAGTCAACATATAATTGTATCTTTTGACCGACACTAATTACTGCTTATTACCAAAAATCAAATCTAAATAGGGCATTCTGAGCCTCACAGTGATCGTGCTATCTTTTTGCCAATTTGAAGCGCCTTGCTAAACGTTTCAAAATAATTTTTTCCCCTTAAAAAAGCTGAATTGTTTCTTCTTTTAACTATTTTGTGGTCGACGTAGAACCTTTTAAAGAATTAGAAAACTCTAACTGTTGCAAATTTGACAGGTTCTCATTATATGTATTAGAACTTTTCTGGGGAATAGTCGATGGAGAAATTGTGGTTAAAATTAAAAGTTTTTATGACCTATTCACGACTTAAATCAACTCTAAAGTAAATCACATACATGATTTTGATCTCATTCGCCGCTACAAATAAACATATAGAAAATTGTTTTAAATACGCAAAATGCTAGACAAATATTTGCAGCTTAACCAAAATGAATGCAGGAATGAGTCGAAAATATGTGCATTTCAGAGAACCACACTGTTGAAGGTGGTTGGGACATCTTTTTAATACGGGCATATATGTATTTGAAAATTCGTTGCTCCAAAAATGATTTTCGTGAATTGTGTCAACAGCTTAAATGTTTTGGGTTCTAAAACCTCTTACTTAATTAAAATCGTAAAAAAGTATAAAATAATTCTTCTCTAAGTCGATTAATGCTTGATTTGCACTTGATATTTAATGTGATTGGTTTTTTATTTCACTCATGCTGTTGAATACTAATTCGGAGCTCTTTCCTTGCCTGAACTGGTAACTTAAAGATCTAATGCATTTATATTTAAGAGAGATTTATATTTAGCCTGAGAGAACCAAGGAACGACTCCCAATTAACCAAACCAAAATTCCCGAAACTTTGCATTAAACCTGTCTAACTTGTATAGCGCAATAAGCAGACGCCACACTCAGCTACACATTTAATTCAGGTTTCTCATCAAATTCCTCACGGCACTTAAAGAAGTAGTTTACATTATTATCGGAACAAGTGATAGAGCTGACAGATCAGATATTGCTTGACCACCATACAAAAAAGTATGTGAACACTATTATTTACATATTTTTCTTGGTGTAATTATGCAAACCGTCCAAATTCGCTGACCTCAATTTTGAAAAACTTGCTTCGCTATTTGCAATTGCAATTTTCAAAAACCATTATCAAACATTTACTGCCGGAATAATCAAGGTTTCTATAGCTTTTAATCCAGCAAACGCTATTAACATGTATTAGTTAAAAAGTGATCTGAAATACACCTAGTTTCTGGTTAAGAGTTTTGCGACATCCAATTAATTATTTCCTTTCAAAATTCAAACCACCCAATATTTTTAGTTTTATTTCAATTTAATGTAGGATCACTCTTAAACCTCACACATCTTTTATGTTTATTTGCTTTTTTGTTAAACAAACATAAAAAACATGTATGGCTAGTACAAAATCAGCAGCACTAATTGCTAGTAACTTCTATTGTGGTACCTAAGCCTAGAAATAAAAATGTCTAATTAGTCTATCAAAATATCTATAATTTCTCTAAAAATGGATGTTGGAAACGTAAATTTAGATAAACTGAACAGAGAGCAAATAAAAGTAGGTAATAGCAAACTCGTACGTCGTTAAGCAAAGGCTTGCTATGGACTTGTTTTCAACTGCTTATCAGAATTGAGATAATAAGTGCATTTTTAGCCATATATAAGTTTGTTTAGTCGTGAATGGTTCAGCAGAACACAGCAGCTAGTCAAAATGCATAGTGCATCTTACTTAATATACTTTCTAATAGTGTTTGTGGGGCTTTTGGGTTACCTTTTCCGCAAAGCCAAAAAAACATACAACTATTGGACGGAACATGGAGTGCCCAGCGAAAATAATACGCATTTATTATATGGCAATCTTAAAGAATCAATTTTATTGAAGAAAAGTGATGCTGAAGTATATGGAGAGTTCTACCAGAAATTTAAAAAAAGGGGACTAAAACACGGAGGTAAGACCAAAATAGAAACATTTTTTTGGGGCTTGGCGTAACGTGAATGAAGATTTCTCTATTCCACACTTTTAAAAGAATGTATCTAGAATAGTTCTAAGAAATACTGCATCTCTACTGTTTCGTGAATTTCTTTACTAAAAACTTGTGTTTAGATGCCTATAAAGAATAAAAGTTCATGTTGTGAATTAAGGTTTCATGACGTCAAGTTAAGTAGTTTTGCGATAAATTGTGACATAGTGTGATTAATCTCATATATCGATAGCACACATTGACTTGCAGGTTTTATTTATATCAAAGACTAAGGACGCAATTGAAAAACAAAATCAGCAAACACTAAAATCTTCTGTCAACTCATTGGAGTCAACAACGTTTTAACAATTTAAGTTATATTAGCGAATTCCAAATTCCATCATTAAAATGCGCTTTTGTCATATTGGTCTTTAAATTTTACCTGCTATTTTTATTTATTTAAACATATAGCAGCACGTCATGTTAATAAGATAACATGTATTTTGATAATATTTCACGGTTTCTTTGGATTTATTTTTTAACTCTTTTTCATATACTTCCAGAGAAACCAAGCTAATTTTGAATTGCCTCGCATATAAAATAAAATGACATAAGTTTGAAATTCGTGTATTTTAGCAATATGTAAAAACTAATAAAAATGTATAAACATTTACATTTGTCTGTCCGACATTTGAAGCAATCTTGTAAGAGTTGCTTAAATAAATTTCACATTCATTCGTTGAAACTTTCAATCGCTTGGAAACAATGATCACTAACAATGCATGCTCTGCTATAATTAACATATTTGAAAAATATATTATTTTTATTGTAGGTGTTTATTTTTACAGCAGGCCCACCTGGATTCTGGTAGATCTTGATCTAATAAAAACTGTACTTATTTCTGACTTTCAATATTTTGCGGCACATAACCCAATGTATTTGAATACGATTTTCTTTAATAACCTGTTTCATATGCAAGGAGAGCAGTGGAAGGATATGAGAAGAAAACTAGCTCCAACTTTTACATCTGGTAGACGAAAATTGTTAAATGTACAATCAATAGTATTACCTTCCATAACTTTTTTCAGGAAAGATGAAAATGATGTTTAACATTCTGTTAGAAAAAACACATGGATTGGCCGATTTAGTTGCCGATATGGCTAGCACGGGAGAAGCTACAGAAATAAAAGAATTAGTTGCTCGGTTTACAACCGATGTTATAGGTAAAAAAAATTAAGCAGTCTGCTTTACTAATACTTACAAATATATTTTTTCAACTACTCTATTTATAATTATAATTTTTTTTTTAAATCATATGGGTACATATTGTCAATCAATTACTTTTAGGTAGTTGTGGATTTGGAATTGAATGTGACTCATTAAATGATGTAAATTCAACATTCTTCCAGCATGGACAAAACATATTCAAGAAGCTCACTCCAAAGGCTGCACCAAAATTCTATAAGCTTATATTACTCAGCTTAGGACTTATGAAACGATTCAATATCAATTTAGATGAAACTGAAGCGTTTTTCAGGTATATTTCTAAACTAGAATAAAAATAATTTCAACAAACTAATCCTCGATGCTGAACGGCAAGTGTAAAATATTTGCCTTTCACAAAATAAGAAAGGATTAACAACATTAATTTTAAACCAGTAAAAAATTGAAGCTAATTCACTTCACTAAATAGTTTATTGACCGGAAAAAATAAACATCCGAATTAACAATTATAATAAAGAATAGTTTGTTTCTAAATTATATTTGGTTATCTCAATTGTCAGATTATATTTCTCACCGTTCATTGACCTCGCATCAAACCTTATGGATATTCCATATAATTAAAGCGGACAAATAATTTTTGGAATAAGAACAAAATATTCTTATTCTCAAAATTATTTTAGAATTTTCGAACTCCAAAATCTTTTCAATTCTATATAATCGAGAATAGTTTTATGAGTTCCCACATGAAATATACAAGTATTTTAGTCTGCTTACAGTAAGCTCTAAATCATTGTGACTTGCATTTAAATCAGTTTTATGCCTTATATCAATAGGTCATATTTGTCAGTGAAAGCACAGTTCGATAAGTGATTGTACCGATGAAGGGCTTACAATAGTCAGAGTCATAATAACGACTTATATTGCGACAGTAATAATGCAGAGCTGGTACTATAGAATAATTTCAAAAGTGAAATTAATGTGTTAGAAATTCTTATCCCATTGGCCAATATGTGTCAGTAGTCACTTGCAAACTTTTCCAGAAAACTTGTTGAAGATACCGTTAAATATCGTGAAGAAAACAAAATTGTTAGAAAAGACTTCCTACATCTGATGATCCAGATAAAAAACAATGGTACAATTACAGATATCTTAAATGATAGCGATATTTTCATCAAATCAAGAGATGAAGGTATGTAGTCGAATTCAGTGTAAAATTAATTTCACAATACAACAATTCTGTTTTAGCCGGTTTGTCTATGGAAGAAATGGTGGGCGAATGTTTGTTATTTTTTATGGCCGGATTTGAAACGTCTTCGACTACACTTTCATTCGTCTTTCTTGAACTAAGTAGAAACCAAAGCATTCAAGAGAAGTTGCGCAAAGAAATCCACACTGTTTTGGAGAAATATAACGGCACACTTTCTTATGATTCGCTACAAGAAATGACTTACTGCGAATGCGTTATAAATGGTAATTTGTTGATAGGTTTTACAGTAGACATTTATTTGGTTTTTCCTTAGAGACACTCAGGAAATATCCGCCTGTAGCAAGTCTTCCACGAATGTGCACAAAAGATTATGCAGTACCAGGAAGTGATGCTCTAATAGAAAAAAATACGATGGTTGTGATTCCCCTTCTAGCTCTTCACAATGATCCAGATTATTTTCCTGAACCAGAAAAGTTTATTCCAGAGAGATTTAGTGCCAAAAATGAAAAAATTCCATTCATTTACATGCCCTTTGGCGAAGGACCACGGCAATGTCTAGGTTTGAAATTGTCATTATTGTTAAACATTTAACTTTCACATCTTGATTTCAGGTTTGCGGTTTGGTGTAATGCAAGTTAAAGCTGCTATTGCGACGCTACTTAATCGTTATAACTTTACTTTAGACAAGAAAACCCCATATCCACCAAAATTCACTCCTGGTTCACCAGTTCTTTCAGTTGAAGAAGGTGTTTGGGTCAGAGCCACAAAAGTAAAATAGAGCTGTCGAAAAACTATGATTTTTGTAAATTAGAATAATTGTTGGATGATATAATAATAAATATATTTCTTAATCCCAAGTAACTTAGAGTATGTCGTGTGATCGAAAGTACTATCATAGTACAACAAAAATTAAAAAACCATTCAACTTGCATTTGATTAACCGATTTGCATTTACCGCATTTGCAATAACCGATTTCAAAAAATGATCCTCAACTTAAATAAAAGTTCGAAGTTTTATGTGCTAAATACTTACCTTTTAGTATTCAAGGCTGAATCTAGAATTGCCATACCTGAAATTTCTATACGTAACGTCTTCCGCTCTACGATTAATTAAGCATACTAATAACCTAATTGTTGATAGATAATAATTGTTTACAGTTAGCCGTTTCAAAGCAAGTTCTGACCTCGTCGGAGTTTTCGATCATGTCGATTTGATGGCTCATCGAAGTGTGTTAACAATAAAATTACAAATCAAGGGGTTAAATTAATAAAATAATGACTTTACGCAAACTTACTTACTTAGCTGATTGAAAAATCGTTTTTCAGGTTCCTAATTTTAAATATAACTTTGTAGGCTACTAGTTTCGAAAATACGGGGTATAGGAATTTCGAGGCTTATAAATTTGACCATTGGCACAATTTTCCCTTGTAAGTATTTTTATTAATATATAACAATTGTTTACTCACGATTTGGTTTTATTATCAGATTAGAAAAAAAAGTAACGCGCCAAAATCAGGTTTGCGTAAGATAATCGTTGGTAGAGTAAAAATACAAGACAAAATTTTGAAAGATCAAAACATAACTAAGTCAAGAAAAATTTTTTCAGTCAACCTTCCAGCACATAAAGCCTTAAATGAGCTGTTTTATTCGACAGTCACATCCATTACTCAATATATGTGGTGGCAATGTTATTCAGATTGGTAGGAATGTAAGAAAACAAAGCAATTGAAAATTTTCTTAAGGTCAATCTCATTTTCGGTACCTAATATGTAAGTGAAGAATAATATATAAAAAAACTTTTTGAAATAAGACTCTATTGACGCTCTAATCGTTTATTCATGCATCAAAAGAAATTGCTTGAATTTAAATTTAAATTCTAATCTTTTATGAAAATGTTATAGATGTTTTAATAAATAACTTAAGCAATGGAAATTCTAAATTTTCTCTGATAGTTTATTATTAAATTAAACAAATCATTAGCTTATTTCATTAACACGTTAGGGTAATAAATAGTCGAACTGTTCACTCATTTATCACAGTGATTTTTTGCAAAGTCTCGCCAATAGTTTAGACTATTTAAACATCTAAGTAGTTGAACGTAAATGTAAAATTGTTGTAAAAAACGACTACCTTTTAAAAATAAACAATATACCTTACTTATAAATACTGGTCTCTGCTCTGTGTGCGACATATTTGCTAATTATTCGTAACATAATTACTTAGTTTCGAATTTGATTATACAAGTTCTTAATTACCGAGTTAAACGGCTTTGAGAAAATACTCGAATAAGAAAATTTTACAGTAGCTAATTTTTATCATCTCGATCGTACAAGTAATTAAATTCAAGAAAACGAGAAACGCTACCGGATCCTTGTATGGAATTGTCAAGTAAGGTGAAGACTTTGAACTTGAACGATTTTAACATAAAAATAGTTTTACTTGATAAATATCGGCTTAGTTAAACGGACTTGGAAATTCCATAAGCCGTAAATGGTTTTTAATAACTTACTGTCCATATCTATGTGCACGTAGGTGCCTAATCATAACTGTCAGATAAAAAATCGTAAAAAATAGTACTTTTCATTATTATTAAGTATTGTAATAAAACGTTTGGCATAACGTTATATATAAATGGCCGCAAAGCCTCTTTTGAGAATATCAATCACGTTTCAGCATCATAACATCTGAAGAGTTATCAAGCCAGTTAATTTTGGAGTATTTATTTATTGATATAAGTGCTATATTATCCATATAACGACTAACAGATAAAAACGAAAATTTACAACTTGGAATATAGATTTGACCATTTAGTAATGTCGATATTTACGTATTCAATTTTGATAGTATTACTTATAAGTATTCAGTTTATTATTGAACAAACAGGAAATGTGCATGGACTATATTAATACGGATAACTGTGATAATGTAGGCCACTAGAGCGATTAATAGTTTTCAAATGGCAGACGGATATTCTATAAGTATCCTCTAAATATGAGTAGGTATAAAGTTTTACTAAAATTATTTACTTTTTAAAAAATTATAGGAAAAGGCCGATTGATAAAATGAATTAAATAACAAATAATATATTAAAGTATGTTATTTCTTATGCAATTGTAATGTTTGTTAATTCATTATTTTCTTTTTGCATTTGCAAAATATTGTTATGATTGTTGTTGAACACGTCTTCCTTCTTGCAACTTATACGCAAGTTTAACACTTACATTTTACCTCACTTGTGTACATTTCAATCTACAGCGCTCTCATTTGAAGGTAACTGTTCAAGTTATTGCGCCAAACTATACTTAAACAATATAATTTTGCGGTATTTATTTTTCTTTTTGCAATTCAATAAAAAAATGTATATACAACAGTCCACTTTTCAGAGATACTATCTATATATTTGATTCTTTTAACGCTGTCACACAGCTGTACTCACAATAAAACTTGCAATAAACTGATTAGTAGGTACGTCGTTTCAGTAAAACTTTTGATCTTTTTAGCTCACACAAGTTTTTTCACATGGATAAGTAAGTAAATTAAGGGGTAAATTAGACAAAACTTTTCATCTTAACGTAGTAATTCTTGCCGAAAAAAAAGGCGAAACTTGAATATGATATACAAGATCAAGCGAATGCATTATGCCACTTGTTTGCCCATTTGAAGGAAGATGATGAAATCAAGCTCCTATGTAAATTAATTTTTTGAAACAGTTTAATTTTTAAATGATTTCTTCGCTGCTTTTTCGTTTAGTTAATATTTTAAGGAAAAGAAAATTAATTCGGTTATTAATTTTAGTTTTGGAGTTGTACATTAAACCCTGCAGCTGAATCAAAGTCAGCCTAATACAGATGGCTCTAAATTTAAAATTAAATTAATGCAACATTGGCGTTTGGAGCGTTTTTTGTTTAGATGTTATTAACATTCGTTTAGTAGAAACGTGAAATTTACCTTTCGAAATATTGCCATGCGAATAGACACTTTCTACAAAAATCTCAGCAATAAACAAAATGAAATCAAACGGCCAAGTTAACCAATGAATCCAACCAATGAAAGGGCGAACAAGCAAACGATTTTATAATCATCTTTATTCTGTTGTTTTTTGCAAAAAAGTGTATGAATGTAGTGTGCTACTGACCGTGAACAAAATCGCGTTCTTAGATGAGAAATATAAAATCATTGTGCCCCAGTAGGGCTTTGAAAATTGAAAACTTTACAATTCGAGGTGGATTTTCATTGTGTGAAGTGTGAAAGTGTAGTGAACTTTTTGAGGATCCTATTTGGTTGAAAATGGAGGATGGGCGCGCCAGCTTGCAAAAAACTGATAAGAATGATATCAAAACTATACATCTTTTAGCTTGAGCTGAGTTTAGTTTTCCGATAAGCGACAACTGAAGTTGTATGGATTCTTTATATTTCTCCCTCTTTGCTTTGTTGATATCAAATAAGTTTGGCTTTGGTCATATTTCCTGCTTGTACTAAACTAATTTTCTTGTTTCTTTCCAGGTCGCACACGTAGCTTTCGGTAAAGATAGTTTGCCCTACTACTTTGCCTCTGGTTGCCGGGTACATGTAGAACTGTTAGCCCCATATTCATCAACTGACTCGTAGGGTGGGTTTGGTATTCATTATTTTCTAGTTTATTATTAAACTTTGGGAATATTTGGGATTTGTATTTTGTACATCAAGCTCATCTGAAGCTTTTCTCTAAAGAACCGTTTCAGGTATGCAAATATGAGTTCCAGTTTTATGTTTATTTGTCAAAAAAAGTCCACCGGTTTAGTTTTGTCTGAATTTTTGAAGGTTTAAAGAGATTTTCACGACATTTGGAGCGCACTTGTACAGTAACCCAAATTGAATACATCTACATAATAGGTATCCAAGAAAACAGTTTTCATGAACTTCAAATGTTTTGAGCAGTTTGGCAACGCCATTCGAAATTTAGCGTGAAAATAGTGATTTTCCTCAAATTTTGTGAGTATTTTTGGCTCAATTTACGGACCATCTAGGTATTTTTTGCTGAAACTGCTTAATTTAAAGTGTTCTTTAAGATAAAAGAAGAAAAAACCAAAAATCACCTATTTTTTTCCAAATTATAGATAATAAATGTTGTTTGTTTCAATAACAGGAATTAAATGGATGTTTAAATCTAGAATGTATCCTAAAACCTGTTTTTTTTTGTAGATTTTCTATGTTTCTCCGCAATTATTTATTTTAGGGAATTATTTGAAGTGAATAAACTTGCCTTTGAGCAAGAGAGAATCCCATATTTTTCAACATGAGATTCTCTCTACCTAGATATTTCGAAAGCGGTAATACCACTTCATAATTCATTCCATTAGAATGAGAATAAATAAAATTATTTTTAATAGATATTACCATTAAATAGATATTCATAGAGAGAGTATCTAAGACATTCAATTTGCATGTCGACAATCTTGTTCACTGTCACTAATTATGTCGCAGATTGAAATTTGTTAGATTATATGTAAGGTCCAGTTGCCAAAAATTTTTGAAAATCAAATTTCAAACCTACGACGAATATTTTGGTTTTTAGATTTAAATATTCTGTCGGATGATTCAAGATAAATTCAAGGTTAACGATGAAGAAACACAAACATGTAAACGTTAGCAACATTAATTTTCCGAAATTAACCAAATCAAGGCTCAAGGGCCATTTTATTATGTATCTTTGTGATTTTGTAACGACGGAAAATCTAAGTATATCCTATCACCACTTATGCCTATTATATCTAGAGTACCGCCAAATTTACAACATGGACAAGCCACATTTAATTCGAGTTTTTTACTGTAAGCACTTACACTTAAAAGTGCAATTTTTTAATAAGCTTAGTACGGTAAGTATAAGCATCGGCACTATAAGAAATTAGCTCAATTATAATCACATATTACACAATTGAGATAATGAATGTTGAACTAATTTACCGTTATGTTAGCGTATAAACAAGGTTATGGCTGAGTTTAAAGTGCTTCTGGTGCTTTCCTTTCAAAAATCTTTAAAGTACCGTGGGTTACAAGCAATTTAAGTTCCTTGTGTTAGTAAAACTTCTACTGTCTACTTTAAGCTGGCATTTGATAACCAAAATTTTACTATTTGAGAACATGGTAGTGCTACTTACGCCTTCGTTCTGAGATGACTTTTTCTGACGAGGCACACAAAACAACGTCACTTTTAAGCCTTCTGATATCCTTTTTGTAAAGTCTCTGAAAAATGCAGAAACCCCAACACAGCAAGAACTAAACAATTGTACTGAAGTCTACTTGGACGGCGATTTAAAGCACTAGTTCCGCGAGCATCAAAAATGTTTGGTACTACCGATATACCATCTACCACAAAATAGACGGTAGGAACTGACCGAAAATGAGACAATAAAAAATTGTCTTTCAAAATAAAGTACAAACAACTACGGCGTCTAATCTAATTGATATTTAAATACTGATAACAAAAATCGGAAAATAAACGGAAAGAAAAAATAAGCGCGACGTGGTAGAAAACTGTATACTGGTGCTGGCTCGGTTCACATCAGTTGGCGTGAAACGTGCAGTTTGCCCAAGCGATGTTTCAGGGAGCTTGAAAAATTGTATCGAACAACCTTGTTAATTGTACTTATGTATTAATATAGTATTGGTAATTATGGCTTGAATTCCGATTAGAAGACCACTAGGCAGTAGCAAACAGTACATACTGTGATCTTTAGTTGTGTCAACATAGAATGTAGGTTTTTTTATATTTGTTAGAGTAAACCACAAATTGTTTGAAATACTCGAGCAACAAAGGAAAAATAATTATACTCTCTAACTTCTGTCAAGTAATCAGCCCTGTGCTGTATAGTAAAGGGTATTTTTAACGGCCACACGTTATAGCAACTTAAGCACTTATACAATAGACCATCAGAGAGACACATCGAAGCTTCTAAAGCTTCACATATCCACATTTTGACCATTTGTCCCACCTCCCACCATACTTGTCTTTGTCTATGATTTGTGTCACTTTCAATTTCTTCTGTTACTTTCCTTTAACTTTTATATAATTCCTCGCAAAGAAGCTACTAAATATTTAAGACTTAGCTTAGATGGAAAGCTCACGTAAAAATAAAAACTGAACAACTAAAACTTAAATATGAAAGCATGTATTGGCTGCTGGGAAGAGGTTCGCAGCAGGGGTTTTTTAGGTGCAACAACAAATAAAAAACTTTCCTTTACCTATGGCCCAAACGCTTTCAAGAGATCATCCAAAAAACAGACAAAAAAATGACTGTTCTTTTTAAAGCGTCAGCTTCCAGATGTGAAAAATGCAAGTGCACTCAAAACCTACAATTTACATAATCATGAATATCGATACTTATATTTTATAATGCTACAGTGCATTTGATGTATGAATATCCAACTTGCCGAAAAATTATTATAATCCAAAAAAATAGTCGTAGCTACTTATTGCAAAACTACGCTCTGATTAAACACAATTGTTTTATTTATTCCTTCGAGGTTAACTTCGAGGGGCGCACGTTAAGTGCGAAAGCGGCATGGCAATTCATAATGTTATTCTGAAGCGATATTTTCAAATATAACGTTCGTCGATAGCGTACGTCTGTTCTAATATAACGGTTTGACTGATACAGCACACCAGTTCGGGCCACATAACGTATTTGACGGATAACATGCACGTTAAAGTTAACGTAAGTGATACAGCACAGGGCTAATTATCAATAATTTTCAAATATTTTAATTTATGAAACTAAGTGTTAATGGAAAAAGTTGTTACTTTAAAAAGAAGCTAAAGTTAGACGAATAAAATTACAAAATTTGAATTGCTTGAAGCTAAATAAGAAAGCAAACTGATCAACATAGGGAAATTATCAAATGCATGTAACACCTTAGCCTAGATGAAATTAATCAAAATGCAAGTAAAGTAACGGCAGCTAGGCTTCTCTACTAGATTTGTCTGTGATTCGGATATGGCATAATAGGATAGAAGTGAATTTCTGTCATGATTATTTTATCTGAATACACAATTAAATTAACTTAAATTGCCTGTCGGTCTAAGCTATAAATTTATTCGGTTTTAAAAGTTCCAGCTTCAGACTTCAGAGTAGGTACTGTAGTGGTTAATGACGACTAAAGCCCGTGTCCCATGCATCCGTTTGTACGATGATACGATGGTACCAAAGTATACTATTCGTACGAATTGACAGATCTCCAACCAATAGAACACTTTTGTGCCATCGTATCATCGTACAAACGGATGCATGGGACACGGGCTTAATGGATGAAAGAAAAATTTTACTGAAATATGATTACAAATACTTTGCTGCAGTTGTTGCAAATGCTTGCTTGCAGTGTTCAAAATTTCTACAAATAGAAATACCATCCCCCTGCTGGTAGTAAAGCAATGTTATTACGGTTTCCAACAACAAATATGTATATAAATACAGTTTTCAATTCCAATTTCCTATTAAAAATGAAATTCTTATGATTCTATAAAACAATCTAAAAACTACACAGACAATTTAATTTCCTTATGACACGATATCGGATAATTATACAGACAATTTTGTTTGATGACTTGTGATCAAGCCGAATGACTAGAAACATTTAATATAAAATTGTTTGCAAAATATCGACAATTTATGGCTCAAATATAAAAGATCGTAAAACTGCTGCGTGTGTTTATATTTCGATAAACACTATTTAATGCCCTTAAACATAGAGCTTTAATTAATATAACTGACTGTTATTCTCTATTGTACAACGATTAGTACATCTTTATTTCTCAGCATACGCCCAACTTAAGCTTTTCCCCTCCAATGGTATAAACAGTTTTTACAAAATAGTATTCAGGAAGCTTTGAAGCAACTGCAAGCCTAAACTGATCCTTCTATAAGGCCTAAACTTCCAACCGATGGATGAGATATTCACGTTTAAAAGCCAACGATTCTTTGTTACCTGTCAAGTATTATGGCCCTTTGTCAAGAAGAGGACCGTATACCCGATTCAGAGAAGGAATTTACGAATTGGGCCTTACAGCTGGTCACCCGATTCAACATACACACATAAGTGAAACCAATTAAGGATTTAAGGTCCGTGTGAGACAATTATTAAATCGTGGTATGGCAATTAGGTCCCCATTATTAATTCACAAATGTTTACGGAAATGGGAAAAATTAGTTTTTATTGTGTAATTGTTCCAAAATGACACTCAGTAATCGTGATCCCTAGAGTAATTTTATCAACTTTTATAAAATTACTCTTTCTATAGAAAGCTTGCCTTTTAATCGACATGAAACTTACTTTAAAAAAAATCAACTTAGTTTTAATCTATTCTTTCAGTTTTAGACATAGACAACATATTATTTAAAAAACTGCACTTATTATAAAAACAGATAATATTATTAAAGCATTATTAAAAACATTATTACAAATACTGGTAAAGCTGAAGTAGTAGTTATGGCTTATGAATATAAAATCAGTACCATTTGAAAACTGTGATTATTGTGAATGACGAATTAAGATTTCAACCTTAATGGCAATTTTTATGGGTGATTTCTAAGTTCCAAATTTTGAACTTTAACATAAATGCATTAACACTATTTAAGATTTCTTTCATCATGCTGACTGAAAGATCTATTCAATTGCAGAGTAATATACAGATGGCCAAGGGTGACGGTACGACTTGGAAGAATAAATCTGTTGTTGTGTACGAGTTTTACTTTAAATGTTTGCTTAGTTCCCCACAATGCCAACAGAGTACACCACCTAATTTAAAGCGAACTGCAGTACAGTGTTCGTTTTGTTTCTTCAGTTATGGAGCTGTTTAAACCAAAAATGTATTATTTTATTTAGTTTTGTTTGGATATTATTGGTAATTTTTTTTCTTGTTTATATGTATCGATGTCATTTAGTAAGGCTAATTGCAAACCTTGTTAAGGAAAGCTTGAAAAAAAAACATATCTAATAACAAATCTAGCTAAATTATAAACCAACTTTCTTTAAACGTTATGTGGATGATTGCTTAATGTGTTTACCCAAAGATAAAATTCAATATACCCTAGATAAATTCAACAATTTTCACGATACTGTAAAATTTACAATGGAAAAAGGATAAAAATAAATTTTTTGGACATAACAGTAAATTATGATAATTCAAGTGAAATAAAAACAAATTGGTATACACAAGAAGTTTGGTCGGGAGGGTATCTAAACGATAATTCATATGCACCCCAAAAATATAAAATAGCGAAATAACTGCACTTACGGATAGAGCTATAAAATTATCACACTCAAATAACAGACCAGAAATTAAAAAAAAATCAAAAAAATATTACTTAATAATAACTACCCGTAAAAAATTTTCTGAACCAATAATAAAGCGAAGAATTAACAAAATTTACATCTCAACTAAATATAATAATAATGAGGAAAAATGAAACAATACATAAATATATATATCACTACCATATATTCCATATATCAAAAAAAGAAAACAAACTAAAATACTAAAACCACACAACATTATAATTGTCGAAAAAACAAAAAACAACTTATCAGCTGAATGTTTCACAAAACTAAAACCTAAAACTGACAGAATGGATGTAAATACCAAATACTATACATATACAGGGTGTCCCGTAAGCTCATGATCAAAAGGGTATTGCGATATTCTTTGGATCAAAAGAAGACGATCTGACCTAACTTTTATTAACAAAAAATGTCTGGCAGTTAAAATCACTTCCTTGGAAAGGGAGTTTTTAAAACAATTTTTATTTTAATTGACATGGATTTCAGCTTCAAGATACAACTGTTTGTTATTACAGGCTTGTGTGAATATATACTGAATTAATGCTGATGAGTTTACATGCTATCTGTGAAACTAAAGAACATTATGTACTTACGTAAGCATAGTTAAATATTTCCTTATGCTTAGCTGCGAAATAGAATATCATGAATTTGTGAAGTTGGCTAAATAGGATATCATAACTCCTTCGGCCTTAGATGAAATTATATCATCAAAGTGATGTAATTTCATTTGAAAATTGAAGTTTCTTTAATTTCAATTTGATTATTTTCCGATTTGTTCTTAAGTTTCTTACAAATCAATTTATATAGTAAATAGCAAAGAAATGCAAATAAAGCGACATATAATAATATAGTCCATATGCTAGTACGGTTAACATATAGGGGTGTATGCATTCCTTGTAGTTGGATTGCTTGGGTTCTCAGCTGGGCTTGGATGTCTTCTGTTGATTTCAGGTTCATGCTATTCAATTCAAGGGTAGGTGGATTGAATACTGCTTGAAGTG